CTTGGAACCGGAGTAGGCTTCTCTTCTTCTTTCGGATCCAAGTGGCTCAAGATCCCGAGACGACTATTCACTGCGGCGATCTCGTCTGGTGTCATCGGGATAAGTAGCGGATGGCCATCTTTGTGAGGGGTTTTGCCCCGGTTGGGGCTCAGACCTTCGTTGTTGCCAACGGGGCATGCTGGCCTGTGGTTCTGGAACGGCTCGGAGCAAGGTCCGCAAGCTGCGTGAGGCCTATACTGCTTGCGAGCCGCGATAATGTCTCGCAGCTGAGTCCGCGCTTCTTGAATTTCAGGGCGGCGGATATTTGTTGCAAGCTGATAACCTCCGCGGATGGCCTTGCCCTCACTGTCCCTATAGGCAGGGTTGCCCTTGCCGAAGGCCGAGTGTTCCCCTTTTCGGCGTCTTGGATCGTTATATGGAAGTAGCTGGCCCCCTCTCCTGAGAGCGTGTTCTTTTGGGCCAGCCTGCCTCCACTCACGAGGAAGTCGAGCCTGTGGATGTGGCTCTTCTCTGACGCGCGTATGGGAACGAGACCTTCTGGTGTTCTCATCAGAAGAAGCTGCCGAAGCAGCAGGAGCGGCACCCGGTGGAGGTGCCTGAGGAGGCTCCTGTGCGATCCCAGATGGATCGTCCGATGGAGGCAGGTCTCCCTGCTGGATGGAAGCTCGGCGCAAATGGCGCTTGTGCCGATGGTGATGATGATTCAGACTCGTCAGGATCGAAGTCAACCTCTTCCTCACCATTCACGTCCATCATGAGGATGGTGACGTCATCCTCATCTAACCCGCAACCATCGCCTTCTACTTCTTCTGATGTCGAACTCCGATGATGATGGCCATTGGCGTATCTGGTACAGGCAGGTTTCCCTGCATAGCCGGCGTCTGTGCGTCGCTCGGCTGCCCCGGGGTAGGAGGCGCTGTTGTCGGCTCAGGCTCGTTGCCGAGCACAGGCTGCCCGGCAATATTGCGCATGGCCGTATGGTTTGGCCACATTCCCACCGCCTGGAGACCCCATCCTGGCGGAGGAAGATCATGACCGCGCATAGCAATAGCCATTTCTAGAGCATTACGCCATCTACCACGGGAGTATATCAGTGTCTCTGCACGTCCTGAGGATGCACGCTGTCAATGAGAGTCAGAGCTGCCAACAACAGCTCTGAGCTACCACAAGCGTCAGTATCCTGCATTATCATAATGTCAACTTCGATATGTTCTTGACTCTCAGGATAGCGAGTAATAAGTATCTCATGCATCCTCATGAGGGTCTGCAAAAAGGGGCGTGGTCCATATTCGCCTGGAGCAAGCGAACCAGGATGTATAAACGGAGTATCTGGTTCGCCTGCAATGAAGGCCTGAACAAATGCCTGAGACCCCATTTCGATTACATCTTCAGTGGTCTGGGGATATTCTCCCATCAGAGAAGGCCTGTTTCCAGGCGGGATTTCGGGCGGAGGTTCGAGGTGTCGTTGAACCTCGGAAGGCGAAGCCTCTATAGTGGTGTCCTCGTCACTGCTCTCGTAGGCCATGATGTTGCCTGGGTTCCCGAACATCCAGTCGAAGAAAGATAAAGGGTGGTTTCCCAGCGCCCCGTGTTCCACGGGAGTGAGCTCGTTGTTGCCCTCAACGAACCTGCGAACGTACTCGAGGTAGTACGCGTACAATCCATGACCATACGCCTCGAGCTCGTCGACGTTGTCCATGCCAACAACCCAAGTGAAAAATATCTGCTCCATAGCCTCAAAGTCCTGGAGGCTCAGATACTCAATGAATGGTTCACTTGAGCCAAAATGGACTTCGGTCGACCTGCCCTTTCCATTTCCCTTCACTGGACAATCTCGCACAAGATGATCGGAACTACCACATTCATGGCATTTAAGAACCTGGCCGTCTCTACCTCGCGGGTTTCCCCGCCTACCTTTGCCTTTCCCTGAGGTCTCTCCACGGCCTTTACCGCGGCCTTTTCCCCCAAAGAATATCTCATCATGTTGTTCATCTGAGAGCCTCTGGAGAAATGCCGCGATGCCTCGTCCGTTCAACCTCCGACGACCTCGCTGACCTTTACCTTTTCCCTTAAAACTTCTCCGTGTCCTCCTTCTAACACGACGCACTGGTTTTCGTGTGAACCTCCTCCACCTTCGTTTAGCCTGTTGTAGTAACCAGAACAAATATTCAGCACGCTGATTGTCGTTATCCATATTCATAATATCTGACCAATCTAGAGCTTCAACACCATCTGATGATATAGTGTCTGTATCGGTGCCGGAGTCGAAATCCTCGTCTCCCAAGTAGGTGGATACACCGTCGGTTAGGGGGTTTGATTCCCCCCATAAAGAACGGTGTGGTTGTGGTTCTCTAGAAGGAGGGCTGGTTGCCCAGCTTGGTTGTGATCGATCTCCTGCTAATAAAGCAGTGGGTTCTCCAGGATCGTCGGCCCATATACTTGAGGGCCCGTTTCCAGGCTGGGCTTCAGTAGTCATGGTAGTGTAGAAATTTCCACTACCAGATCCCCTTCCCCTTCCAAACGCAGATCCTACGTTGCCAGGAGACCGTTCAGATAGGTGGCCTATCGAACGCATCCTCTCCAGCAACTCATCATACTGTTTACTGTTGTTGTGTTCGGGGCATTTGGTGATCGAGTGGCTGTAAGAGTTGCATGGCTCGCTGGTTGCCGACGCCTAAGGCGCGGACTAGGATAGTGGTTAGCAGTTGGAAGTTGGGAAGGTCGAATCCCACCGACTGTGCCTCAAGTCGGGCCATTTCGAATCGGGTAAGGGTGACATCGATTCGTTCCCCGTGAGGCACGTGGAAGTCGATGATTTGTGTGCCGGAAGTGAGCTGTCGCTCATCTTCCAGGCGTTCGAACTTCATGCTTAGGAGGAACATGATGTAGGTCACTGGGTCGGTGTGGACCCCATCGATGTCAGCACCATAGTTTATAATGTCAGGCGGTACCCTCATGGCGAGTGTCCTCGCTAGGCCACCTAGGCCGCGTTGTATTGCGGCCGCTTGGGCCTGTGGCGTCAAACGTCCGCTTGTAACGTTGAGCCATGCGTTGACCTCGTAGATGTACTCACGAAAAGGTACATTACCTTGAGGGTCCCAATATGGGCCATGTGTTTGCCCATCGGTGCTGTTTTCTCCACGACGCATGTGTCCGATTGCTGCCCCCAGCGCGAACCATATAATAGCGAAAACGACTATCCCGAGAATGTGTAGAGAAGGACGGTTATTATGCGCGTTGCCGCGCTGGGGTAGCGCCTTGTCGAGTCTTCGAGGCGCTCTATCTGGCGGGTCTCCCCGCCTCTGCTTCAAGTATTGCGCTGTTAGCTCGTTGCCGAGCGGTTGGTGGTAACGCAATGATGAAGCGTATATGGTACCAATCTGGTCGTCTAGACGTCGTACCTCTCGTGTTGCTTCTTGCTCTTGAATAGATCCTCGTAAACGTACTGGGGGTGGTGGCGCAGGGTGGTAGGTGGTCACGAAGATCGTGCCGAAGAATATGAGGCTAAGAAGAGCAAAAGCTGACCACACGAGAGTGCGGCCAGCTCCGCTACCAAGTCGAAAGTGAGCCTGGTAACTCAAATAGCATCCGATTCCATGATAGACATCGGATGGCAAATAGCGTCCATCGCTCTGCTGTGATAGTTCAGTATGAGGAATGGGCGGATAAGATAGGATAAGATCGATGTAGTGATCTTTCCAGCACATAGCGAACACTCGCGGTGTCCGGGCAAATAGGGCGCGCGTGCCTTGGGTCAAAGGCAACGGCGCGCGCGAGCTATGCTCCCGATACTATAACATCTCCCAAAGACCTACCCTTAAAGTCACTTCTCCCGCTTGCAGCACGGTGGTCGGGCGTCTGCCGCTCCCCCCCCCCCTACCACTCTTCCTCCACGTCTTCGCACTGCTTCGACGGTGGAAATGGGGACGACGGCGACGCCGTTCCAGACTTCACATCCGCTGTGCAATGATCCGAAAGCCCCGCCGTGGAAGCCAGGAGGGGGCGGCGGTTTTGTCTAAAGTCATGTACTCATACGCCTTGTCTGCCCTCGTGGAAACCCTCATGGGCTTCAGACGTGGCGCGCGGTTTAACAGAGGCAGCGGATTCTGGGCCAACTTGTGGTTCACTCCTGCATTCTCGGCACCGCCATGCGTGCAAACGGACCCTGTTCCCAAATTCCGCACGCCACCTTTGAAAACTTCCTCACTCGGAGCATGATTCGTGGGAGCCGGCCTGGAAACCAGGAAGCGGGGTGGGCCTGTCTAGAATTATGTGTTATGATTCCTTGCCTGCGCCCATGGGGGCTCTAATTGAATTAAGGCGTGGTGTACGGATTGACGGAATGAGCCGATTTTGGACGAAATTGTAGTTCAAATTTGGGCCAAGTTTCACAAAGAAATTCCTGCATTCTCGGCCCAGTCCTCCTTCCTGCAGGCAGTCTCTTCCTCCTCATCCTCTTCCTCCTCCTCCTCCTCCTCCGCCTCCTCTTCCTCCTCCTCCTCGTCCTCCTCCTCCTCTTCCTCCTCCTCATCCGAGCCTCCTCCTCTTCCTTTGGATCCTCCGACCCTCCTCCTCCTCATCCTCCTATTCCTCCTCCTCCTCCTCCTCCTCCTCCTCCTCCTCCTCCTCCTCCTCCTCCTCCTCCTCCTCCCCCCCCTCCTCCTCCTTCTCACCTTGCCCCTTCTCTCTCCGCCATCCTCTCCCCCGTCTCCTCCCCCTCCCCCTTTTCCTCCTCCTGCTCCTCCTGCCCTTCCTCTCTCCCCCTCCTGCATGGAGCGAAGCGAGCAGGAAGCTCCACCAGAGATCCGGGGACGCAGATCTGAGGCCACAAGACGAACGATTGAAATAACACATCAAAATCCTTGGCACTTGGTATTCAAACCGTTTGCGACGCCTTACCGATGCCTTTTTCAGATTCGAGCGCGCAGAAGCGAGGGCTCGAGCCGGCCTGGGCCAGCTCACGCGAGCGGGGTCAAACGCTCGCGGCCCCAGAGGAGAGAACGAGAAGGCTGGCTCCGCAGCTCCCTTAGGAATGGCCTACCCAACCGACGGGACCGCCGATAGACAGTGGCCGCTGCTGGGACCAGCGTCCGAAATCATTCTGCTGCCCACGGGCTGTGAGAACGGAGGCTGGCAGCACGAGGTGCCCGAGGATCAACTTGATCGTGGTCCAGAGAGGCGCTGGCAAAGGACCCGAGAATATGGCAATACCCAGAGAAAGGTCACAAAGCGCTGGACGGCGGTGGAAACCAACTCCTCCATAGACAGCCCCACTGTGAACCAATAAAAAAAAAAAAAGAATAGAAAAAGAAAAAAGCAAAATAAGGGGGCTCCGTGTTGTCACAATTACTCAAAAAAACAAAAAAAAAAAAAAAAAACAAAAAAAAAACAAAAAAATAAAAAAAAAAAATAAAAAACAAAAAAAAAGAAGAACAAAAAGAAAGAGCAAAAAAAGAAAAACAAAATACAAAAAAAAAAGAAAAAACGCACAGCAACAGCACAAGCAAGCACACACAAGACAGTGCTCACAAAAAACAAAACAGATCACACACAGCCAGCAACACAGCCACACACACGGCACACGACAACACAGCAAAGCCTTCACACTGAACAACAATGGCACACAACAACAAACAGCCACACATCACAAACACAACACAGACACACAGGCCAAGCACCGCAGGGCAAAAACACAACACACACAACAGCACACACACACAGCCCCCCGAAGACCCTTTCTTCCTCCTCCTCCTCCTCCTGCTCTTCTCCCTCCGTGTTCTCTCTTCCTACTCATCCTCGTCCGCCTTTCCGTTTCCCCATTTCCTCGTTTTTCATCCACATGTTCGCGAGCACCGCACCTGGTCCCAAGGGGCCCCTCGAGGTCTCACGAAAGACTGTCTCGCCTCAAAGCCTCAGGAGGTCGCAACAATGTCCCCAGGATGCCACCGAGAGGCGTCCCACGAGACCCCAAGAACCCCAAACAAAGAGGCGCATTGTCCCCGATCCTGTTTTTGATCCAAGAGTGCCCCGAGAAACCATCGAGAGGCCTGCTCCTTCCCCCACTTCTTTCCTATTCCTCCTCAGAAGCATCCGAAAATGACCGCGAGCAACCAGAACGCACCCCAATGAAGAGGGGGAAGATGGCAGAGGAGTGGCGTATCCTGTCGTGGGCCACCCCGTACGGTCGGCGGCAGGGGCAGGAGCCCTTAGAGGTTTCGAGCACATCATCATGCTCAGGCAAGGCTTGCTACTGCGATCGAAGCCATCTCTGCCCCTCCGTCGCGGCGCGCTCCCGCGGCGAGGGCCAATCGCTGCGCGCATGAATCTGGCGCAGCGCTCGCGTCCTCGTGGTCATCTTCTCCGAGCAACCCGCCGACTGGGAATCCCACTCGCCCCAAGTGCTTCACATACAAGTTCAGGTACAAGAGGCCGCTGCCCGTACGTCCATGTACGACTTTGAGCTCGACCTTGCCGAAGGCCACCCATTTCGGAGCTTCGATGTCGCGCTCTGATACGCTGTAATGATACCCTCTAGCTTGTTTGACCTCTGCCCAAGACCCAGTAACGTTGACCTGCTGGAAGTACATATCCGCGCATTGTCCACCCAAGCGACGAGCATCGGCCTGCACGCGAAGCAAGGCGTTTTCAGCACTCATTCCACGAGGGATGTTGATCAGAACGTGTTTGCCTGCCTTCATCAGGTCGAACCGTTCGCCATGGATATTCTGCAAGTGGGGGTCGCCGACGGCGGAGGCTCCAGCACCTGCGCCGCCCGCTGGAGTTGGTGTTGCCTGGATGGAATGACAACCTTTCTCCCGCTCCTGTTCCTGCTGCTCCTCGTCGCCTGTCCCAGCATCCTCCCCTCCTCTTACCCTCCCTCCTAGAGCGGCACGCTACAATCGTTTACCGATGTGTTTGGGCGGGCTCCCTGTGCCCTGAGGCGGCGAAGACACGCAGCGAACGCATAGGAGCGCCCCGAAACAACCTCAAGAAGGCTCCAAAATGCCCCGCCACGGTCCCAAAAAGAGGCCTGTAGGCTTCTGCGAGATCCCCCAGCGGCCCCGGGAACCAGAGAACACCTTCCAAAGAAACCCAAAAGAAGGGGGTACCCTTTCCGGCCCCAGATGCGTCTAGCGCGCAGGATGCACAATAGTTTGCCTCTTGGTTTCCACGTGCGCAGTAATACGGTTTCTCTCCCAACAACTCGCCCGGATATCGGTCCTGGATGGGATGGTGGGGAACCGAAGCGCGTCAACAATACTTTGTCCTTCTTCCGGCCATTTGGATCACAAGAGATAATTATTGCACTGGGTGGGTGGATGGAAAGAGGGTTCACTTCCCCCAAGGGACGCATGGATAGGCTGACAACCCTTCTCCTCCTCCTCCTCCTCCTCCTCCTCCTCCTCCTCCTCCTCCTCCTTCTATGTCGCCTCCCTGCAAAGCCCACATCTGCGGTCGGGGTCCTGGCCCACGGGCTTCCGACCCGATCACCCGCTATTCGTCGACATGTCCAGAACAAGCTCCCACGCAACGTAAATATCCAAAGAGGGTCCGACAGAGCCCCGAGACAACGACAGGAGAGCTTCAAGAGTCGAGTGAGCTCATAACAGAGAGAATGGAGAGCGGGCAGAAGAGGGAATGACCTCCTCCTCCTAAACCTCCTTAGTCCATACCTTGCTCTCTGCCTCCTCCTCCTCGCCATCCTCCTCCTCCTCCTCCTCCTCCTCCCCCTTCCCCCTCCTCCTCCTCCTCCTCCTCTCCTCCTCCTCCTCCTCCTCCTCCTCCTCCTCCTCCTCCTCCCTCTCATCCGTCTCCTACTCGCCTTCCTCCTTCTCCTGCTCCTCCTGCTCCCGCCAAGCCCTCCTCCCCTCCTCCTCCTCCTCCTCCTCCCTGTGCTCCTGGTATCGTTCCACCTGTGATGAAAACATCATACGATTTGGGCCGATCCGCGGGGGCTGCTGGAGGTCTGTCTCTTGGAGCGACTGGGAGCAATCCTGGACGCCCTTCGAGGCCATCTTGAAGCTTGAGGCCCGTTCTGCCCTTCAAGGTTCTCGTAAGATTTCGCGGACCCATCTTGAGACACTCCCGAGGCCTACTCGGCCAATCTTGAAGCCGTCTTGGGCAATGTTGCGGCCCCTCGGGCAGTCTTTTGGCCCTCTCGGGCGCCCTTGTGGAACACATCGAGGACCGCGTAGGAGCAGTGCGATTGGGTCGTCTCGGGCACGGCGCTCGTGGGGCTCTTTCGAGGCGCCCTGACCCCTCCGAGGCCCTTTCAGACACATCTGACGTCGAACCAGTCTGGGGACCAAAACTTCTGGAAGAGTCTAGGGGGTCCCACTCGCTGTTGTACTATCCGCCACGGTGCCTCGAGGCACGAAGTGGAGTTTTTCCCAAGGCTAACTCAAGGGTTCCTTCTTCTCTTTGCCCAGCACTTGGGGATTATAGTATTCTATGGGGCTTGGGGTTGGAATCCAACCAGCCCTCTGGGCGCAGGTGGTCTAGACCCTTTCTTTTTCTAACTTCCGTCCTCCCCCTATTCGGGTAGGTCTCCCCTTCCCCCCCCCTCCCTGGACCTGACCGGGGAAAGATGGCCCCAAAGGCCCTCAGGTCCCCACTAAGACCGAATACGTACCAGCCGCCCCAAGGGCGTCAAGATGGCACTAAGAAACATAGCAACGGTTGGCGCCAGCCCCCGTCGAGGCCGTGTCCTGACCATCCACGGATTGCCAAATCGGACTCATGGACCCCCCTTGGGCATGTGGCAACCGAACTCATTCGCCGCGCAGCCAATGCCAAAAGCAGGTCCAGAAAATATGTGGATTCGATTATATGCAGCTTGTTCCGACTTCAAACACGAGATGAACGCGCTCTTGGGGAAGGCCGAGCGACCGAGACCGAAACATGCGAGTGTAGAGAACGGTTGAGCACAAGTGTCGGCACCAGCGCCGTTGCCTGAACGGTGGAGCACGAGCTCGAAGTAGCTGTGCACTTGTCGCTCTCGTTGTAACAAGTCGACAAGCCACAGCCGCAAGGATACGCCACACTGACCGCGCTGCCGTCGACCACGGTGCAGTCCCCGATGTATGTTACTGGAATAGGCCCATTCGGATAGTCATATCGAGATTTGGTGGCTTCCCCGGTAAAATCATAGCTCCATGCTGTGGAATACGAGTAGATGCGTTCTAACTTCCCCGCCGGATTCCTGAAAGCCAAAGGGGCGATACTACTCACCCCGCGGCCGAGAGTGATATACTGCAAGGTCCCCGCTTGCTGCACGAAAGCATGGGCTTCGATCGTCGTTACTGAGTCTGGGACCTCGAGAGGTCCCACAAGTCCATACAAGTCGCAAAAGTCACAAGAGAAACTAAAAAAAAAAAAAAAAGAAAAAAAAAAAAAAGTACAAAATTAAAACAAAACAACAAAAAAAAGAAGGAGAAAAAAAAAAGCAACCCAACTCGACCACAAAAAAAACCATACAAAAACAACAACATAAAGGCTGATGCGCGTCAGCGACCGCGAGATCTTGATTTGCTTTATGCTCCTGCTGACCGCAAAAACACTTCCGCCCAGCTCCACAACGGAATCTGGAATCACAAACTCCTCGACATGGGTACCAATATTGGTGTTGTAGAAGGCCCCGTACCCGATCTTTGTCACCCCGTAGGGGATCACCACCGGCGTCACCAGCCCCGCCGCGGAGAACTCGAATGCCTTCACGCCAATCTCGGTCACCGACTGCGGGATCGTCACGTCGCCCAGATTCTTGCACAGCCTGAAGGTTTGGTCTGGGATCTTGGTGAGCGAGTCCGGCAGCCTCGCTGATGTCAGGCTTCTGCACTCCTCGAACACGGACCTCCCCAGACTGGTCACGGAAGTCGGCACCACCACCTGCTCCAGCGAGGACCGGTAGAACGCATAGTCGGCGATGGTTGTCACAGAATCGGGGATCGTCACGCGCTTGAGGGTGGCGCACCCCCCCAACGCCGAATGCGGGATCTCAGTGACGCCGTCGCAGATGACAACCGTCTCCTGGCAGTCACACCCCGGGCCCGACCATGTCCCGCCCCAGTTCAACGCGCGCCGCCGACCACTGCAGGTGGTGCACGTCTTCTCCACGCCGACCTGTTCCACCATGCGCTCGTCGGCCGAGCTGTAGGTCCCCTCCGCGCTCTTTGGGTTCTCCGAGGGGAAGCGCATCTGCATCAACGAAGTATCGTTGCGCTCCTTGCCCAGCGGCACCTCGTCGCCTGCAGAAGCCAAGCCAGAAGCACCGTGGGCCCCGATTAAGCCGGCAAGCAGTAAAACAAACGCCATCAAGTGTACAGGTTGTGTGGCGCGTGGATACGCGAGAAACTGCTTCGACCGAAGAGCCAAAGAGCCTGCATGAGACGACACAACTCTGGCCCCTTTCCGGCCTCCAGGGCGTCGAGAGACGAGGCACCCGAGAGGACAACAGACCGGCCCCCGTGACCTTCGAGAGCGGCGACGACGACGACGACGGCGACGGCGCGGCGGCGGCGGCGACGACGGGCGCGCCGACGGCGGGAATGACGGCAACGCCAGCGACGACGCCGACGATGACGACGACGGCGACGACGACGGCGTCGGCACTTGCGGCCACGTGCTGTGCTTTGGGACCCTCTTGGAGGTCTCTCGGGCAATCTTGGAGGCCCAGAAGATCGTCCAAGACGCGCCAACAGCATGAAGATGCACCCAGGAGTGCCCCAAAAGAACGCCCGAGGCCCCTAAGAGGGAATCTCAGGACCCACAATCCGCCAACGTGCCCCCTGACACGTTGAGGAATGGCAGAATGCCAAAAGGATGCCTGGTAGGGTTTCTGCAATCTTCTGGAAATGACCCCCCCTGTACTAGCGTCCAGACGCGTCCACCGCCTCCCTCCCCAGTGGTTTTCTTAGGTTGACTTCCTTTTGACTCATATGTGTTGAGTACATTGTTGAGTATGTTGTGCTTTACTGAAGTATGTATATTTGTCTCGCTATCTCAACTTCCCTGCGTAATTCAATATATGTCGCGTGTTTGGGCAAAGCCGCTGTTAGGTTTCGAGCCCGACCAAAAAATCCAGACCTCAGGAAAAATCGTAACAAACCCCATGCTAAACACAATCATATATGTCATACGCTTGCGGCCACCCTGTGTGTTCACAGGTTCCACTGGTTCCCGATCTTGTAAACCACACGACATGGTCTTGGTTTCTAAAAGAACACAATCATCAACATCACTGGCCCGTGTGCAAGCGTAGGGGTCACCTCGTCACAAGACTGTCTTTGTTTTTTGGTCTAGAGAGAACATGAGAATCTACATGTTCTTACAAATCAAACAAATGGTTTCCAGGTTGGGAACCAATGAAACCTTTGAACACACATTCGTCCCACAATGTTATGGCAGTGTTGCATGCTTGAGCGTTGTTTCATGTGTGTTGATGTGTTTCTGGTGGTTCTGGCAGTTCGACAATTTGAACACTCCGACCCAAAGTTCAAGACCCCAAGCAACAAAAAAACGGTTGAAATCAAAAAACGCATAACACATCACATTCACGACTTGTGGAAGAACGTTCAGTCTCATATGTTTCATTGGTTCCCAACGGCGTTGCTGGCAACATATTGTGTTACTTGAAATGATGGGTTCTCGGGAAAACAATCATACACCTCAATGGTCCCTGTGCAATAACAAGGATCAC